TCTTCCGATCTCCCCAAAACCCCAAAACCCCATAAGGCAAACATATAAGGAAATTAGAAATTATAATATCTAATGATAAAAACTTTGCATTATGTTCAGAAATCTTTTCTTAATTTAAGCTCATTTGAGCCAGTTAGTAGATAGCTTCTCTATTTTAGAATAATCGCAACTGTATTTTCAGCTTCAATTTCTGAGACTTGTCCGCTTGATTTTGAGTTAACCTATTCTCGATTTTTTAATTCATTTTGATCAAAGATTCCTCCTTCAGTCATACTTGAAACATAAATTCTTCCTTTTTTGACTTGATAAATATTTTCTTCATGATGATTGAATGATTGCTCATTTGGAACTGAGTCCACTCTTGGATCGCGATCATCTTGCTTCAGTTCCATTAAGCTCTTCTTAAACCTAACGTATTTATCTGTTATTTCTCTCTGATCATAAAGACCATCTCTACTTAAAGTGTCAACTACCAATAAATCTAGGTCTGATAGTTGTCCACCTTAGGAAGCATATATTGGATCATTTTTAAGAGGACTCTTGACGAAAGAGTGCAGTTTAAAATCCGACTAATCCATATCGTTCGATCTTAAATTCTCGATGCTATCATGATCTTCCTCAGTCACATCATTATCTTATCGCTATACCTTCTTTTCAGGAGTTCTATGGCTAGACAATATCTTGGACATAAAGGTTGGATTATCCCTAACATATTATTAGGGCACTATTTGAGGGATTATATCAAAGTTGTTGTAGTCTATCGCAAGTTAGAAAGGCATTTTCTTGGCACTATTTTATTTCGAGGAATCCAATTCATTAACTAGATTCAATACTTTAATTATCTTATCATCATTGACCAACGCAGCAGTGTGTAGTACATTATTCCCATACTAAAGTAAAAGTTTACTTAAATTAAATTGTTACTCTATCGTTCTATTAAAGAGAATTGCTCAATTTTTCAAGCTAGAATTAGCTTAGAAAATAAAAATAACTTTACATCTAGTTCTTAAGAGAATTTAGCTTTGCTCATCCGTTTTGTATCTGAAATAGAATTTTCCTTCTGAACTGACTAATCATTCAGATTCTCAAAATCATCGCGATCTTGATTATAATTCTTATCTTTAGCCTTCACCCTTTTGATGACATAGCTGACAAATTTATAATTTTTGCAATGAATAGCCCAATGAAAAAAGTTAAATTCTAGCTAGAAATATAAAATCAATTCTATTTTTACATTAGTAAACTTCAATTAGAAGATTTGTGGATGCTTCAAAATTTTAACAAATTCTGGCTCAGTAGTAGCAACTTATATTGCTTGCTAAAGTAAAACTTATTCTTTCTATAAATTAGTTCCCAAACGAGTGTTAATCATACATTTTTCCTGGCAAGCTTTGCTCTTGAGGATTATTGCCCCATTGTAAATTATTTAAAGAATATATTTTAAGATTTTTCTATTTTAATTCACAATTAATTTTAGAAGCAAGGGGTTTTGGGGTTTTGGGGTTTTGGGG